GCTTTGTAAGCATATAAGTGTTCAAGCTTACAAAATCATAGTTCTTTTGTAATACTTTCTAAATTATGTATTCTGTTTTTGGGTTCAATATGTTTGCATAATTTACATTTAACTAATGTTTCACATCCATTACCTTTAGTTAATAGTACTGGCTTCTGGGGTCATTATGATCAAAACTTTGGTAGAAGTCAGTATAGCAACCTTTACAAACAAGAACTTTATTCAATTCTTGTAGGGTTTTTGGTTGTTGAGGGTTCTTACAATGATAGCAATGATAAGTGTAATGATTGCTATAATAGTATTATCTTTGGGCTTTAATTTTATTGGAGTTGCATTCACATTGGTAGGTCTAATTCTGGTATTTGAGAGAAGCTAAGGGACAATCAACAGCAATATGTTCTATTGAGTTGCATTCATGACAAATATTTTCAGGGCATTGCTGATAAAGATATTCAAAACTTTGGCAATTCTTATAAGTTTCTTTTCGAGAGGCTTGTAGTTAACAGTGGACAGCAATATGTTCTTTACAATAATATTGGTTGCAAGTATTTTGAGAGCAATTAGCAAAGAGGTGGTCAGAGAATTTACAGTTGCCACATACATAAGATGAGGTAGTTTGGGTTCATCATCAAGGTTGGTAGATGGTTCATTCTTTGTTGTCTGTTTCTGAGGTAAGTTGAGTAGTATATGCTTTATAAGATATAAGGAATTCTTGCTCATAGAGATCAAGCTCTTTTGGGTCTGTTACTGTTGGTTGGGCAGATAAAGCATGGTTACTTTCATAGGTCATTGGTACTGAAATCTTTTTGTTATTTTACTTGAATGAATAACAGCTATTTTTTCAGTTGTAACTAGCACCAATTTTCTTGGATCAGTCATTATCAAGAAGAAGAAAGTAAGAGATAGCAGGAACAACTTCAACAGTAATTGAGATAGTCATTCCTTCAATTTCTACAAAGAGGTTTTTAATAATTCCTAGAGGGCATGTAGAAGTACCAGTTGCTATAACAATTAGGCTAGTAGAGGCTTGTTTAATTTTGAGTTCTAATTCTTTAACAGTTTGATGAGCAATCATGCTAATAGCAGCACTACTATTGATGATAGCTTGGTAAAGCCTGTTTCTAAGTCAGATGTTGCATTTTATAGAGGTAGTATAAGTAGGCGATTGGACTAGGTTAGCATTTTTGGCTTCTTTATACAGATATGCAGACATAGCCATATAAATAAAAGGGTTGTCGAGAAAATGTTTTTATTTCTTTGGCATTATAACAGGAGAAGTAGGAAAAGAATTTTTAAGGCCAAGGTAGTTAACATCTTTATAGTAGGGTGAGGGTAAGTAAAAACTAGTTCTTCTTTTATTACTATTATAAAAGTCTGAGTATTTGCTTCTTTTTCTAGAGTTTCCTCTTTTTTTAAAAGGATTTTAATAATAGGATCTGTTATGACTTCGAGAGTGAGATCTTTGGTTGCATCTATCATTTCTTCTATAATTATCTCTTTAGTTGAATCATTGTTCAGCTTGTCTGGTTCTATATTCAGCAATAAAATGTCCTGTATGTCTACAGTAGTGGCAATGATATAAGTCTTTGGCTTGAGGCCTGTTAGAGTTAGATATAGCTGCATAGTTAGCAGATTGAGGTTGGGATAGTTGCTGTTGCTATGCCAAGTTGATACTAAGTTTGGCAATTTGGTCTGTTAGTTGTTTGATAGCTTGGTCTGTTTCTGTAGTAGTATTAGCAGCCATTATATGTCTAGTTTCCTATTGTTTCGCAGTAGTAATAGCAGTGTTTAGGTTAGCAGGTTCACTAGCTTGCATATTAATAGAAAATTTAGGGTGTAGTCTTTGAATAAATAATTGCTTAGTGAAGTCAACAAGAAAAGCATCACTAGAGTCAACTCACTCTTTAATTGTCTAAAATGATTGACATAGACATCTACTATGTCTGAGTCTTGTTTGATGTTAAAAAGCTGTTTCTGCCAAATAGCTTTTTGTTTAGATATGTGAAAGTGAAGCCTAAAAAGACGTTTAAAGCTTCTGTCTTGGTGGGCATTATCATTAAAAGCATTTGAAGCAGGATTAAGACTTTGCTACCAATCTAGTGTAATTTCTTTTAAATATATAGTAGTTAGTTCTAATTTTTAAGCAGCATCCCATTTGTTAGAGGTAGCAGCTTTTCGAAAATCTTCAAGCCATTGTTCTGGGTCTTGGGTTCTATTACTATAAAAGAAGTCAGCTTTCATAAGGGCTTTTTTATTTCTTTTTAAAGTATTGGTAAAGTTAGTCATAGCTTGTGCAGCATCTTGTAAAGCCTGTTGTGCCATGTTGTCAAGTGGGTCAGGAAGGTTATCAAGAATAGGTAAAAGTGAAGAAAGGAGTTAAGGTTGAGGTTAAATAACAATAGGTTGAAATTGAACAGTAATAGGTTGAAAAAGTTGAGGTTGAATAGTAATAGGTCAAAGTATGAAAATAGCAAGTTGAGGTAGAAGTGAAGGAGAAGGACTATTTTTGAAAGTTTGTTGAGATGAATCAGTAGGAGTGTGATCTGAACTAAAGGTTTCTGTAAGGTCTACAGAAGCAGTAATATATTCTTCTGTTTCTAAATGATCAGTGAGTAGTAAAGGAATTTGTGGAGTCTAATTAGAAGTATAGTGACTTTCAAAAAGTTCAGTAGGTGTAACTAAATTCACTATATAGAGCTAAGCTATTTGCTAGATTATGTAAGAAGAAAATATTATCAGTGAATGTAATATTAGTGGTAGATAGTAGGATAGGACTTCCTAAATTTCCAAGATGTTAACTAAATTCTTCTAGTTCTTCAAAACTAAAACTTAGAAGAATGTCAAGGTGAAGGTTAAAAGTATTTTGGTATTCAAAAAGTAAGATAGGAAGTTAAAAGAGGTTGGTATATCTTCTAACTAGAGTTAGAGCAATTGTTCTAGAATCACCAATGTCTTGTTAGTATCAACAACTAAAAATAATATTTTTAATACAAAAGTGAATTGTAATTTGGTTTGGATATAGGGTAGTAAGAACAGTAAAGTTGTTCTAAGTTTGAGAGAAATAATGTTGAGCTTCAAAGTTGGTTTGGTACCAAGTCTAAAATCATTCAAAATCTGAGCAAGGGCTGGTACATTGAGAAAAGTAATACCAAAGACAAGATAAATCTGAATGCTGTACTTAAAGTACATCTACTGCAAGATAAGATCCAGTTAGGTGTGCTTGTTGATGGCTTTGGATGTTTTCATTATAAAGTTCAGCAGCAGTATAAATCATAAAAGAAGATGTGTTTCTATGTTCAGGACTCTGTTAGGATAACTAATACTTGTCTAAGTCTCTTGGCAGAATAACTAATACTCATCTGAGTCTCTTGCTAAGATAACTAATACTTGTCCGAGTCTCTTGCTAGAATAACTTTTCCAATACGTCCAGAAATGTTTCATCTAAGGTAACTTGTTTTTTTCTATAAATTTAATCTTTTTGCCAAAAGGCATCAAATGTTATAGGTGAAAATCTTTTTAATTTTCATACTATAATGATGATATGACACAAGAAATCTCTTACAGGTATGTGCGGTGTCCAAGAGAGAAGTATAGCTTCTGTTAGACATTATAAAGAAACTATACTCTTTTCTGAGACAGTTTGAAAAAGTTAATATAATATTAATAACTTTATTTTATTTCACTTAAAAGAAAATAAATCTTGCCTGTAGAAATTACCCTAAAAGGAGAGTATCAATACAATTTATAGTCAAAAGCTATTTATTAAAGTAATAACAAGAAGGGTTATTCTTAGATTTCTGTTCCTAAAGAATCTCAAAATGTGTTTACAATATTAAAGGAAAGAGGAATATCTGTTGCTTAATTGCATTTGGAGAATTTAGCAAGATTTATATATCTGTAAGCTAAGCAGCTAAGTAGCCAAATAATTAAATGATTAAATGACTAAGTGACTAAGCATTAAGTAACTAAGCAACTAAGTGACTAAGCGATTACTAAGTGACCGAAAGGTTCTAACAACTAATGACTAATAATTACTAAGTGACTAATTATTAAATGACTAAGCAGCTATGTAACTAAGCAACTAAGCAACTAAGCGACTAAGTGATTACTAATCAATCAGAAAGTTCTAGCAACTACCAGTAATATAATAATACAATAATAGAATAACTAATATTAAATAATAATAATAAAATAATAATAATAATTAATAATAATAAAATAATAATAATAATTTATTTTATAACACTAGTATAATTTTTAAAACCTGTAAATCCTAAAAATAAACTACTTTTATTTTTTGTATTTTAAAAAACTTAAAATATATAAAAAAAAAAAAAAAAAAAACTTAAAATATATGTTATACATATTATATTTGTAGTACTAAAATTATATATTGCACAATCTACAAGTAAAAATTTACCATTACTATGGAATTTTTATTATTCTGACTAATCTGAAAGGTATTTAAATTATTTATACAGAGTAAACTAAACATGACATGTAATATTTTATTGGTGGTCTACCAGTCAATCAAAGAATGATCATAGTATAACATGATGCAGTTCACTTATAGAAATTAGAAGTTTGTAAAACTTTTTTTATATATATGCAAGCTACATTTACAAACCCCTAATTTCTATAAGTGATCTATAATTGGTTATAGTTATATGCACAAATGTTACACAATTTAAATTATAGATATTTTAAAATGATCTACGCTGTTTCTAATTGGGTGAAATTGCTACGCCCCATAAAAATGATCTGCAAAAAAATAGCCAATCACAGAGAAAGCCCGCTATGTTATCATTCGATCTAACTGGCAAAATTTTGAACACTTTCTAAAAAAAAGGCGAACTTTTTTATATTACTTATGTTACCACACGGAATATTAGCGATAAATAAACCTTGTGGAAAAACTTCCACAGATGTATTAAACAGGCTAAAAGAAATTTTTCGAAATAGTTCAACCTCAATTATAAAAAAAAATAAAATAAAATTAGGACATGGTGGCACATTAGATCCATTAGCAACAGGTGTATTGGTAATTGGTGTAAATGACGGGTGTAAAGAACTACACAAATATATCGGCTGTAATAAGGTTTCTTTACTTTTCAAATAAATTTAATTTAAAATGTTACTTTTATTTGATTTTAACATTAATGTTTCAGGTTTATTTAGCAACCGGATTGTTTGGTTTCGCGACAGATAGTTATGATTCCTATGGAAAGCTCTTAAAGACTGCACCAGTTAAGCACATCACCAAAGAGATGCTAACATTTACGTTACAAAAATTTACAGGAGATATTTCACAAAAGCCGCCTCTGTAAGCTTTATTACTATAACGTCTCCAAACAATCCAATTGTTATCATTATATTATTGTTATTATATTATTGCATTATTGTCAACATAAGGTATTCTGCTTTGCGTATGGAAGGTCGACGCCTTTATGATTACGCGCGTAAAGGAATTGCTCTTCCGAAAAGCATCGAACCTCGCGCAATCAAAATTCATTCATTGTCATTATTAGATTTTACTGTTAATCATGATTATAAGCCTCCTACAACAACTACAATACTTAAAACAAGAACATCAGAAAATAATGATGTAATGAATGCGAGTGATCCAAGTAATGCAATTAATGAAGATTCAATTATAGAAAGTTTGCTAATGGATAATCCAATTTTTAAAATTCATGTCGAATGTGGAAAAGGAACATATATTCGATCATTAATACATGATATTGGAATAGAGCTTAATAGTGCAGCCCATGTTGTAGAATTGATAAGATTACAACAGGGAGATATATGCTTACATAGAGATACAATAGAATTAGATGAACGTACTGATTTAAATACCATTTTTAACGCCATGGAAAAAATCCAATCAAAACACAGTTATTCGTCACAGCTTCAATGTAATAAAGTGACTGATATAAGTGCTTCATAATTATCATGTTAGTATCATAGTGACAACGATGCCCAAGAATTTTGATTTTTATATATGTAAATTGAGCCTTTGAACTTCGATCGGATAATTCGGATTCGGACCTCGGATCGGACCTGCGAAACACTAATACAAGTTAACTAATATTGTTTATCGGTTAGTGGGTTTATTAGTAAAATTCGGGCATAATTAATTGGTCCGGAAGCTCGAGTTATACGAATCTCGAATTTTTTTGGACATGACTACAGTTATACCTTTTTATAATCACCTTTATAATCACAACCTTTATAAAGTTTTACTAATTTATGTCTCCAACTTTTTAGATATCAAACTCTCTCTTTATAACAATATATAATAACTATTACTTTTTTTTGATATTAAGGGTAGGGGACAGTATTTTAAAATTATATATAAACTTAATAGTGATTTTTTTTTTAGATAAGTCCTTGTGGTTGTATAAATTTATTGAAATTAAGTAACAAAAAGTTCATTTATAATGACCTAAATAAAGAGGTAACTGGATCTTTAATAACATTATTGTAAAGTCTAGACCATTGAAAATAGATATCAAAGTTATAGTACCTAGACAAGCAAAAATTTTTAAATTGAAAAAGTCTCAAATATATTACTAATTAGATTATTAGAACAAACCAGATGAAAAAAATAATAAGTTAACTTAATATACTGATGAACTAGTCATAGTTCTATATGGGTTATTTGAATTAAAAGTCTGGTGAAAAGACAAAAATATACTAAAGTATTAGGATTATGTTATGAAGTAAATGTTAGAATCTGTGTAAATTTTACAAAAGCATAATAGTTTAATGGTTAGTTCTGTTCACAAGTATTGGTTCTGTTATAGTAATACTAAGTTAACTATAAAAATAGGTACAAAAAATTTCAGAAGATTTAGTTCAAGAATAAAATAGTTTTAAGATTAAGATAATAATCTGAATATCTGGGTATTACAGATTGAATGAATGAATAAAAAATAAATAATAAGTAAATAACAAAAAAAAAATCTGTCATTATTCTATCTATATCTGCCAAATAATGGTAGCATAATAGCAGTATAATAGCAGAATAATAGTAAAATAACAGGAGGTTTGTTAATATAAGTAACATAATAGTAACATAATAGCAAAATAATAGAA